TAGTATTGTCATTATTTTCCTCCACAGTTCAATGCATTTTTAAACTTACATTCACCATCACCTACATACAAAGCCATTATTCTGCTGAGCAAAATCATAAAAAACAAGTAATTAGAGGTGGAATATAGTTTGGCATCATGTAAGTCAGGGAGAAAAGTGAAAAGATGCACAACAGCTGAAGTTCAAATTGCCCATCCTGGACACACTGCAAAAGCTGAGTTCCATGCCGTGTACAGTGAGTTTCTACAAACACCTTATTAAACCTTAGTTAATGAAACTGGGACAGCCTTAACTAATCCCACATGTGTCTGAAGAGCAAAATGTTGGAAGAAAGGTTGCGAGCGTTCAGTTACTTGGAACTTATGGTCTAAGTAAAGGAAAAAAATCCAAACTAATTTAGTAGTTCAGTGTCAGCTTTAATATGTAGAAAATGCATTTTTAACTCAGAGTAACAGAAACTAACTACAATATGCTTCAAGTAGATGACAATATTTAATTTTGAAGCCTATTTTATTCTATTTTTTGTATTTTGAAACAATATCTTGCTTTGTAGTATAGGCTGGCCTATACTACATAGATCCTACTATGTACTCAGCCTGGCTTGAAAACTGTGGCAATCCTCCTGCCTCAGCCTCCCAAATTCTGGGACTTTAGGTTTTGCCACCATGCTCAGCTTGAAATCTATTTTAAAACAGAGTAGGTAAGTTCCTTGTCATACTTTCTTAAGAATCTATTAAAGTATTAATTTATGTGTCAACCATATATATATATATATATATATATATATAATACCAGACCAAAAACACTTTAAAGAAAATAATTTTATGGTTGACACATACTAATTTAACTGTGAAAAGGCATAATTAAATATGTGTTGGTATTGTGGTAAAGCATATTTTTAACTAAAGTTTTAAAATGCTAGAACATCTTACTATATATTGTTAAAATTTTTCTGCATAAAAATAATATACTTATTCACTATATTGTAAAATATGAATTTGTCAATTTTGCCTCCCATTCAAGTTGTACTCAGTGTAAATGAAGGAAATTCCATTTCTAATTGTTTTTAGATTATTTCATTAAAGAATTTAAATGCAAATAAGTTAATGAAAGTGGAAAGAATAAAAGAGGATGAAGGAGAAATTGGAAAAGAATTTTTCCATAAAGTTAGAAAATACAGATAAGGGTGGAGACTGACAAATTCAACTTCAGTTAAAATGAATTTCAAATCTTGGGAATTAAATGACTATATATGAGTAATGCTTTTCAGATTTCCATAGAGCATTTCCTTTTTTAATTTAATGTGAGAGATTTGATTGAGATTAGGGAGATCTAGAGTCTCCTACCATCTCTGTCTTTAACTTGTTGCAAGAACTCTTGCAGATTCTGAATGGAACTGTACTGCAAATTCTCCTCTGTAAAGCACAGATGTTTGGGTTTGAATCAATTTCTAGGACATCTTCCAGTGTTAACATCCTGGGGTATCCACTGAATCACCTTCTGTCATGTTACAAGTCACTTTAATTTGTCACATAATGACAACACAAAGCTGACAAGTAAAGTATGTTTTCTGAACACTCCAAACCCGGGGCTTTTTATAGCTTCATCCTTAACTGAACTTGATTTTCAATTGTTTCATTATTCTCACATTTATCCCACTTTTGGACAAAAATATTTTACAAGTTTCAAATGGTTTGAAACAAATACTGATCCGGTGTCCAGAAAGAATACTTATACCACGTATTGAGCTGCCATAAAGAATGAGCAGAAACCAATGTATTACCTCTCCACCCTCTTCATATGCAAACACTATAAACACTCAGTATCATTGGATTTGTCAGCTATTGTATGAAAATCCAGGCGTTTTAGTGAAGAAAGAATGAATAGTCATCATCTTTTTCTTTTCGCCAGTTAGAAATTACGATATAAAAAGATTAAAATTCTGAGCTGAAATGCTACCAAGCAGAAGATGGTGATTATATTGTGTCACTGTAAAAATGGAAACTTGCCAGTAGAAGCTCCTGTTTTACAATTGTAGTTCAGTATAAGGCTCTGTTTCAACTTACATTTTTTTAGAATTTATTTTTTATTGAGTAAAATAAGTTATGAAATATTCTTTTTTTTTTTTTTTTTTTTTGGTACCGGGAATCGAACTCACAACTTCTCATGTGCCATGCAGATGCTTTGTAGCCAACTTACTTCCCCAGCGAGGTATAAAATCTAGATACTTAGAATAGGCTAAAGCATTTCTGATTACTTATTAGTTAGGGAATATATTCAAATTTGTTTTGCTTTATTTTTAATCATATTTTATTGGGGAAGAGTACTGGGAATTGAACTCAGGCTCTTGTGCTTGCCTGGTAGGAGCTGTGCCACTGAGCTGTACACTTCTCCCATTATGGATTAAGAACTGATGGTCAATTTAACACCAGCTGGATTACATCAGCATGGCATTGGGCAAAAATGCTCCACCTGAGGAAAGTTGCCAGGATAAATAGGTGGAGAAGAAGGGAGGTGTTGAGGGTTGAGGCACTAAGGAGGCATTGTGGGTTCTCCTACGAGTTGCTGTCTGAGCTGTTGGTTCTCCTGGAGAAGCTTTGGTCCTCACATCGAGCATTGCTTCCTGGCTTCGGAGGGGAAGACATGTGCTGCTTGGTCTCCAGGATGAGCTCATCACGCTGCTTCCTGGCACGTACCCCACTGTGTTTGTCATCAGAGGAGCTTGGGGCCTCTGTGTCGCTGAGGACTGGTGTGGTGCCTTTCAGGACAGCCCTGCTCTTTGTTGTGAGTGTGACTTCTTGGCTCCAGCATAGAACCCTCATCCTACTAGCACAGCTCCTTCATCCTGCTGGCATAGACTTTCTGGCCTTCACCACTGACCCTTGGGTCTTCCCGGCATGGATCCGTAAAAGAGACTGGCATGAGTTCTTCTTGTGGGCTCTGGACCTCCAGTTGGACTCATGGGAGGCATTGTCCTGAACTCTGAGTTTTACCTGGACTCATGTGGGACATTGCTGTGGGGTTTAGGCTCTTGACTAAATAATCTATGTCTTTGGTGTTGCGGATAGATTTCCTGCATTTTCTTGTGTTAATTCCGGTGACCATTATAAAAATATTATAAACTCCATGTTCTAATCCTAGTTGGCTGTGTACAATCCCTGACTACAACACTCATTCAAATTTAAAATTTAAAAGCAGTCAAAATTACCTAGACTTTGATAAAATTTGGTGACCCCCCACTATATATATATATATAATTAGAATTTCCAAGCAACCTCAAAAGCAAGGAATCCCAAGGCAACAGATCAAAAGATTTACCTAAAATCAAAGAGATACCCCAAATGAAAGGCAATACACTATTGGTGATTATTTAATGTGAGAAAATACAGTTTTATCCTATTTTTTTCTGATATAGATTAATATATGTTTTTTGTGACATTGGTTAAATTTGGAAATAATCTAAACTACTTACGTAGTCACTCACTTTTCTTCTGAAACTATATTTTCAAGCTAAAGACATTGTCATCTTCAACACATAAAGAATTTTTAAGCCTTCTTATGTAAATTATTCTACTAAAAGTTAAATATTCAATTTAAGTCTTCATTGTTATGTTTTGGAACGCAGTAGAATAGTAAAGCATTTGTAATGGGTCTAATCTCTTTAAAAACATTTATTCTGGTCCTTTATATTCTAATCAGACTTTGGGAATTGTGTTTCATTTCTAATAAATTTCTGAAAGTTTCTGCCACCTGTGTGGTGGCTTGTGCAAAAAAGTAGTTTAATTATTTTCCTCTAGATTTATCTATTTTGCTGAACTTATGGAAGATCGTAACTTCTGGTTTTATGAGACTGTTTACAATGTATTAGTAAGTAGGTCTTAGCATGGTTAATAGAGTGAGGAGTTTTTTAGCTTCATCAGTAACACTTAAAATAGATTGAATGTTCACTATATGGTAAGCATTCTGTTGTCAATGTGAATTATTTCATTTAATTCTCAGAATCACCTCCTGAGATCAGTTCTAGTGCTTTTCCTTTTCAGATTAAGATACTATCTAGGGGGAAATCAAGACTTCCCTGGTGAACAACTAGTGTATACTGGAGGCAGAAATAGAAGCTACTCTTACCTAATTCCTCAAGTCTAGTTTGTAAACGGTGCTGAATCCCACTGTAAATGTTACTTTTACAACCATATGTTACAAATGGATTTCATAATTGTATTATACCCTTAGAAACATGCGATGCAATCTCACATGCAAAAGGAAGTGCTCTCTGTCCTTGCAGTAAGTTTAGATGTGAAGGAGAAAGTTCCTCTGAAATAAACCCATTACCCAATGGCCTCGCTGGATGGCTCCCAATTTTTAAAAGGATATTGCATAATATTTTATGAAACCGCAATGCTAATAAGAGTCATAAATCTAATTTTACTTAGTGATAAAATAGTCATGGAAAATTAGAATTAAATATGCTAATAATTCTCTAGGAAATTATAATTTTCCATTGCTCAAATTTTATCATTCTAAATCTTGTAAATAATTTAAGAAAGCCATTTTAAATGTTTTGACAAAAATGACCAATAAAGTCATGATTCTAAAATAAGCATATAATGAAAATAATATAGAAAATGTTTTTTCTAGTCTAGGTTACCATCTTTGCTGTGTACTAGAAAGCAAATAAATGGGAAAAGACAAGAGTTTTAAAAAATATCTTGAAAAATATCATAGGGGGCATAAAACATCTTAACCATTTACTAAATGTAACTTTGTCAAACTACATATATTTATGTTCATTGCTTTTTTTTGAAAATGAAGTTGATAACTATTTTCTCTGTGTTACACTTTAAATACAGTAGTGGGCAGTACAGCAATGTAATGAGTGTTATTTAGTGAATAAATTCCATACCTACATATCTTATATAAAAATAATCTAAACAAAGCATGCAGAAAATAAAGGAGCTGAAAAACATGTTTCTTGCAGTTACTCCTCTGCAAACAGTACTTACCCAACAACGTCAAGACACAGGCAAGTATCGCTATCAGGGCTCCTGTACTGAGGCCGGCGGGTAAGACGTAGGCCTCTGCATTGCAAGTCTGGGCTATGCCATCCACGTCGCAGTCACACACACGGATGGTGAGGGTGTTGGTGCTGCTGAGAGAGGGGGACCCACTGTCCACAATGAAGATCGGCAGATAGTACACAGATTGCTCCTGTCTCCGGAAGCCACTTCTCCGCGTTAGAATTGAGGCTGTATTGTCTAGGATAAAGAAAGCAAATGTGCAGCACAATTTCTAATAGAACCAGTCTTCAAATTTTAAGTGATTCTGTTTACCTTTATTCCTCAGTTGGGAAATGTGAATTGCAGATATTGATTTAACAATTTTCTTTAAATTTCACTGCACAAAGATGTATTTCCGATATAATACATTTTAAATCATTGTACATGAGGCCAAATATATAGATATAAAGTAGAGCTTAATATAAAAATGCATACAAGTCATTTATTTTATTATGTAACTTTGTCAAGACTACACATAATACGTCACTTTACTTAAACATTGAACCATGTAATAACTGTAGAGATGGTGAAGAAATAATAGACATATAATAGGCAAACCAATTCTGTGCAACATAGCTAAGTCAGGAATATTATAAACTCTTACTTGAAATTATACTGTCAAGTTACTGTGATTAAAAAAAAACAGCATGATATTAGAAAAAAAAAAAAAAAAAAAAAAAAAAAAAAAAAAAACAGATCTGAGGATCAGTGGAACAGATTAGAAGCCACAGAAGCAACTCCAGACAAACTCAGCCACTTTATCTTTGACAAAGCAGCCAAACTCATTCACAGGAAGAAAAACAACCTCTTTAATAAATGGTGCTGGAAAAAATGGATCTCCTTATGCCAAAAACAAAATCTAGATGCATATGTCTCACCATACACCAAAATAAAATAAAATAAAACAAAATAGATTAAATATCTATTAAAATAGAAACACTAAATCTTCTGGAAGATAGAATAGAATACCTGAAAGCAGAAGTGTAGGCAAAGACTTTATGAACAAAACCCAGACTGCATGGGAAATATTACAAAGAATTAACAACTGGCATCTCAGCTTATCAAAAATCTTTTACACAGCAAAGGAAAGCATCAACAGCATGAACAGACAACTCCACAGTGTGAGGATATTTTTAGCCAGATGTTCATCAGATAAAAGACACATATCTAGAATATATAAAGAACTAAAAAAAAAAAAAAAAAAAAGCACACATCCCAAATATAGATCCAATCCAAAAATGGGCATCTGAAATGAACAGACACTTCTCAAATGAGGAAGTAGAAATGGCGAATACATACATGAAAACATATTCAATATCAATGGTCATTCAAGAGGTATAAATTAAAATAACACTGAGATTTCATCTCACTCCAGAAAGAATGCTATCGTCAACAAATCGACCAATAACAAAATTTGGAGAGTTTGTAGGAGGAAAAGTAACGTTTCTTCACTGTTAATGGGCCTGTAATCTGGTGTGGCTAGCATGGAAATGAGTATGAGGATTTTCCAAAAATCTAAGGTTGGAGGTTGCATTTGATCTAGCTATTCTCCTTCAGGGTAAGTTCCTACAAGAATTAGCAACATCATACCACAGCGATGTATGTGCACCCATGTTTAGAGCAGCACAATAATAGCTAAATCTTGAAAACAAATCAAATGCCCATAAATTGGGGAATGGATAAAAATGATGTGGTATTTTTATACAATAGAGTGCTACTCAGCTATAAAGAATAAACTTGAGGCTTTTATTAGTATATTTGGGTGATTGATAGAGTTCAAGGGCACAAGCTCCTGCTTGTCAAGCACAAGGTCCGGAGTTCCATTTCCAATCTCCCCAAAGTATTTATAGGTAAATGGATGCAACTTGAGGCCATATTTATAAGTGTAACAAATCAGACTCTCATACGTAAAGAACACACTGTGTTGCTAGTGTAAAAATTTGAAAGAGTAAATAAGATCCAAAATATACAACAGATATCCTGAAAGTAAAATGGGAAGAAACTGCTAAAAAGGAAATAACAAATGGGATGGGGGAAAGGAGCAAAGAAAGAATAGAAAATATTAAAACACATGCACACAAAGAGATAATTATATTACTAATCTCTATTAGCTCATCAAAAAGTAATTATGTGATTGTACTGATCATTTTTTATGCTTGTATTTTGTAATCTGAGCAACTGCCCTATAGATAACAATATATAATATGCTAATCATCGTTAATCTATTATTCTGTTTTGAAATTCTGTATTACTGTTTATATTCCTTTTTCATTTCAAAACATATATATATATATATATATATATATATATATATATATATAAAGTTAAAAAGGTAAACTCTGAATTATTAAGGAATATTTTCTTCTGCATGTTCTACACACTCACACAGATCTCTGCCTTTGTGCCTTACCAGTTTGGATGCCATATATGTTTATAACCTGGTAGAAAAAGTTTTATAAAGTTGTAGATTTGTAAGCTAACATGTTTGATATCAAAATAATGCATATACACACAATGAATTAAGGAGCGTAAGATTAGGTGCCCAGTACCAGATATTCTTGCTACTCATGTGTATCCTTTCAAGATCAAGTTTGGTAGCCCAGTACGAATGTCCTGGAGACCCAGGGATTTCCATGCAATAACCATGGTGGCTCAGGATGTTGATATCAGGACTATATTTATATTCATCTTATGAAGGTCACATATCCTCCATAGTCGATTGACTACTCTAAGAGCTGAGGATTATCCTTTCCAACCACAATTAAATCAGAGAGATTGAGATTATCCACATTGAAAAAATCTACTTTCTTTATAAGATAACAACATAGTCTTCAGAGGTGAATTGGCTAAGCAAATGTTATTATTTTTAGATTGTATTTTTTGAGGCCAACATTAGATTTTCTGCAGTAAAGAGGATTGTGGCTTCAGGAAAAAGTCCTCATAATATTCATCTTTTTTAAGCAAGTTTTTTCAGAAAACCAATATTTGGCTACTTAAGATATGTATCTCTACATTTTCCCAATGAGTCCAGATATATAAATTTGTAACAGATAAGCCAGTTCACATGCTTCCTTTAAAGGTTCTAATAATTGTCAAAATATATTAACAAACAAAACCAGAATGTACTCATAGATATTTACAGAAATGTTTGTATAGAAATGATTAAGAAATTGTTAAAACAATACTTTTTAGCAGGGAAATGCGATGTAGCAACAGAGGGAATTCTATGAAACTGTACTTACAGCATAATTAATGCATTGTTATAATGTCCATGAATTATCATTATTTAATATAAAAATGTTACTTTGAAAATATTAAGCCGAAACTGATTTAGGCTGTACTGTGTGTAGTGAGTTATTTTCCTAATATCTGGAGCTGAATCTGTGTATCACAATCCTTATGAAGGCATTTAACCTGCTCTCAACAGGTCATTTGGATAAAAAACTTGGTAAGAAAGCAAAAGCCTAGCAGCAACAACAACAACAACAACAACAACAAAATAGACTTAACTTTCCTCACGTTGCTTTCAACTGAAAATGATTTAAAGAGCAGCTTCTCAAAACTATGAATTGAAATTAATTGAAGTGCTCATTGCCCTTTAATTAATGTTCTTTCAAATTTTTTTGTTTGTTTTGTTTTTTAGTTTTAAATCCACAGTCAGATTCCTGAAGAATAAAAAGCATTTGCTTAGAGAGTCTGTACTTGCTGTCTCCACAGGTAGCAATACTGACCTTTGTTATCTTTCAAGGAAAAGTTGTGATTATTCGTTGGATCCACCGTTAAACTGAAGTAGAACTGGTGTCCATTGGAGGGCTCATCTTTATCAACAGCACTGATTTTCTGGATAACCTAGAAAAAGAAAATGTGAAGCAGGAAGGCGTTTTGCTGTGTTCTGCTAAGTATTTTGAGCTAAGACAGCAATTTTCCCCTGAAAGTCATTTTCTTCAAGGAGCTGAGGAGTGGATCACATGTGCCAGTATGAATCCAATCTTAAAAGGCCCTGAGTAACAAATCGCATCCTTTTAAAACTTACTTATGTGGTCATCATAAATAGGCTGTGCCAATTAATTGGGTATTCCAGTAAATATCACAAGACACAGAACAATACAAATGAATGAATCAAACTGAGATGGAGTTGGACTTCATTCTTAGAACTTCAAGGTCCTAACACAGCCTGTACTATGGAGCCCAGCAAAAGCAAGCTTAGTATGATGTGATGTCTTTCTCCTTGAAGGTGGCTCAGCCCTTAATGATTTAAAAGGCTTTTACAATGTTTACCTTTTTCTCCCTGAGGAATTTTCAGCAGCCAATTAAACCAGGATTTGAAAGTTCCTTTAATATTAATTCATGTTATACATGAAAGTGTCAGTTTTTCTGAAACAAGCTGATATGTTATCTTAACCTGACATATTTTAAAGGCCTTACTGTTGAATATTTTTAAAAAGCATCAAATATGAGAAGCAAAATGTTTTGAAACTCACCTGTCCAGGTTGTGCATTTTCACAGACCATGGTCTCATAGTCCATGGCGAACTCTGGGGCATTATCATTGATGTCAAGGATTGTGATGGCCACATAACCTCTTCCTACCTGAGATGGATTCTCTAACAAATAAGAAAATGTACATTATGTACTTTTATATAAAGCATATTTTTACTGTCATTTTACTAATGAAACATATGAAAAACAAGGATAATCTTAAAAATGAAACAAAAAATATTTCAATCTCTAAACAGAATAAATAGCAAATGAAATCAAGAATAACAACTCTATATTCTTTCAAAGAATCACAGATATACTGATCCAAATGTATATATGTATGAATTTATAATAACACATATACACAAATGTCACATGGAAATGTGTATATGTGGTGTTTGTATATATGTGTAGATGTGTATATATATTTGTAAATGTGGCTATATATGTTAATGTTTTATGTGTATGTATATGCTTTTAGCCTTTGATAAGATAGCTATTGAAAGAAAGAGGAGTAAATCACAAAATCAAGTAGTCCTTGATACTACAACTCATCTTTTTATGATTATAAATTCATATTATATATGCACATATCTTAGTTAAAACTAATTTATACTATATAACGTGTGCATGTATATATATAATTATGCATTTTCCATGGTGTTTTTAGGAAGGACTAAAATTATATCAACACTTGATATTCAAATCTATTTGTCTTGGTAGGAGTCAAATTATCAATTATTGTGTGTTATTTTGCCAGTTTCTTAACAGATAAATGAATTAAATTATGACCGACAGAATAACAAATAGTCCTCAAACCATTTATGCTTTTTCTGTTTTCATTAACTTTTGTAAATGTTACCATACAAGAAAAATGAATGTAAGCTTTTTCTTTAGAGCTTGGAAACTTTGGACTTTCATGATTTACGTTAAGCAACTGTCATGATTTGCACCTATTTTATAATCTCATGCAACAGTCTGCTCTCCACTCCCACTGTTATCCATCCTAATGCAATTTTAAACCTTACAACTTACGGCTCTCCATTGCAAGGACCGTGATATTATGAATGGCATTTGTCTCTCGATCCAAAGATTTTGCAGTTGTAATAACTCCACTGTTGGCATCAATATTGAAGTATCTCTCCAAGTCTGTGTTTCTGTCAATTGAATACCTAATTGAACATTAAAAGAAAAAAGTTAACATATATATTTGATTGATTGCTTTTATTTCATTAATGGCATAGCTAGTCACCAAATCTTGCTGATTATATGATGTATAATGGTAGAAACATAAATACATAATTTGTTTAAAACTTCTGTAGAGTTACTTATTCATATTTCATTAGGAATGGCCTTTCTTTTACTCAAACAGTTCAAAATGAATACCCTAGTGTAATTACATTTGAAATGACTTTGCATATGTCATTATAACTTCCAATTCATCATCATTATTGCTCCTGAAGGATATTTACAATAGCTCCCAGCTCTAGTTAGCTCCTAGCTCTAGGTATGGTTAGAGTTCTATTGAAAATCTTTCTCTCTCTCTCTCTCTCTCTCTCTCTCTCTCTCTTTATGTGTGTGTGTGTATATATATATATATATATATATATATATATATATTCTTTTGCATATTTTAGAGCTATGTTTTGTTTGATAATAACAACTGGATATTAACACCTTTTTATTTATGTATACATTTCCTTTTGCTTAGGCTTAAAAATTTCTTTTGATAGTAACTCCTTTTAATTTTGTATCTCTCACTTAGGAGTTTGATCAGGGTTCCAAAGATGTGTTTTAATGTAGAGATCCTATAACTGAATGACTATTTTGGTATGTAAAATCCCTTTCTCAAAATATCTGAAATCTAAATGTAAGTGAAAACTGTCTGGTATGCTTATATTCTTCCTCCACTTTACTACTTGTTCCATGCACAAAAATTACCTTTCACTGGTAAGTCACTATATTTCATGCCATCTTAACAGTCTCTCTAGTTTGGTGATCGAAAAGCTGTCATTCATAAACAAAGGATTAAACAAACTAAAGAACAAACCAAAACAAAGCACATGCCCACTTTCTGAATGATGATTAGTAACTGAATCAATTATTCCGTGAGTTCAAATATTTGCCTCTCCTTGGGTGTCCTTGACTCCCATGACCTAGGTTCAGCCATAGCTTCTTATGAGCACACTCTGCTGATCTGTCTCACTGTACTGCTGTAAAGTGGAGGTCACACATGCTACTCCACCTCCCACTCCAGCAAGTCTGTGGTCTATGAAGCCTTACAACTTTTCGGCTGCCAACATATTTTTCAATTCAGTTTGTCTTTTTTTATTTCTTCACCTCTTTCTTAACAATTTATATACCATTCTAACCTTTTAAAGAGTACTGCATTTTAATCACGAATTTTAATGTTTCAAAGCCACGTATAAGTGTGTGTGTGTGTGTGTGTGTGTGTGTGTGTGTGTGTGTATCCCTTCTTTTAAGAACTTTCTGCCCAACCCTAGGTCATACATTCTCCTGTATTCTTTTCTAAAATGTTCAATAAATTGCATTTTAAATATATGTTCCAGTTTGTATTTTGCATAATATATAAAATTTAGAACAGATTTGATATGTGGATGTATGAATTTGCCTAATTATTATAATGTTTCTTGAAAACCTATCATCTTTTATTAAACATCCTTTCACATTTGTCAAAAATAAACTGATCATATGTAGATCTACCTAGAGAATGTATTTTGTTCCACTGAATTCTGTGAATTCTGCCATACTTAGACAATACCATAGCATTTTGATTATAACGTCTATAATAAATCTTGAAATGCGATAGATTTCTTCATTTAATGCCTCTTTTAAAGAATTATTTAGATATCCTGTAATCTTACTATTTTCACACATATTTTAGATTCATCTTGTCTATATAGTTAAAATTAACTGCCAGGCCAGGGATTTAGCTCAGTGGCGAAAGTGCCTACCTGGAAAGTGTGTGGTCATGAGTTCGATTCCTGGAACAAACAAACAAAATTAACTGCCAGGATTTAATTATGATCAATTAAATTTAGCTTTAATTAATATGTGGATGAGTTTGGAAATAAGTGACAAATTTACTGCACTGAGACTTCTAAAACACTACTAGGGTTCCCTTAATTGCTTTTATCATCAATTTGTATTCTTCACCATAGAGGACCTGTACTAATTTTGCAAAGTTTGCACAGGTATACATAAGTATTTTAGTAGTGTACAGGTATAAATAAGTAGTGTTCAGGTATACATATGTATTTGCTGCTAGTGTATAAAAAATAATAGATTTTCTATCTCGATTTTGCATCACAGAAGCTGGCAAATTACTTATTGTTCTAGGACAATTTTTAACAATATATATCTATACTATGTATAAACATTTACTCAACCAACATAAATGTGTAAATAAACCTTAATGTATACTCTACTTAACATGAATAAAATAACAGATATTGATGCTTAATAAATGAATTATAACACTAATAATATACTCATATCAACTCAATATTAAAAATTTTAGCTATTCTGTTAAAATTTTAGTCACTAAGATAATACTTGCCCATTCATAAAAATAGGATTTTAGATTCTTAAAAGAATAAAAGGCAAATATATGTATTTAAATGAATTTGTATAATTTCCTATAGAGTTAAAAGCAACATAAAAATATTTTCCGACTTCATCAGCAATTTCAAAATCATAATATTGGAGTGAATAACATTAAAGCTGAGAACTCATTAATAATTAAAAGTCTTCTGTCACCACTCTTCCCAATAAAAAAAGTTAATCATATATAGATGTATAAATAATCTAGGCCTGTTTATATTTTAGAAAAAGCATGGAAACCAAAATTACTCTCATGCAAGTTCTTCTAATTTGTGAACTACAAACTCTGACAATACCATTTTTAGCTTATAAATATCTGTTCAAAGTTGTAATTTACATTTAGATGTTTATTCAGGTAATTTTTTTATTTTTAAATTATATAATTATGTGTATTTACATATATATATATATACATATACATATACATTTTGCAATTTGTCACACAATTTTCTTATGTCTTTTTAATTCATACATGTATATAGTAATTATTCTTCAGTACCAGTGAATAGTTTAATAAACTAAATGACAAATTTTCATTAGGAGTCCAGGAAGTTGTTATGGTACAGTACAATATGGTAAGGCGTAGAGAAAGAATGAGCTATATATTGGGTTGAGGAGAGATACCAGACTTCAACAAAGCCAAGAAGTAGACAGATTGTCCAACAGTCCTGGTGGTCATTAGATTTCTCAGTAACAGTGGTTGAGATTATACAGTATTAGAGGGCCACTGGCTAGCAGTACTTGTACACATGCCCACAATTGAAGCTTAATTTTGAAACATTATTAAATATACCTGAGAAAAACAATGCCCTAGACAAGAGAAATAAAATAGTGCCAGTTTCTAGAGTGGACATAGTAAATACCTCAATATCCACTTTAGAATCCAAAAGGGAAAAGAAGCATACTATTTGCAGTTCCGTATCTACTGCCTTGGAGTCTGAGCAATGCTGTTGCAGAGGGAACTGGCAGCTGTACTTCAGGCAGAGGATGGAAGCTTGGCTTTTCTAGCCAGGAAGTAAACTTAACTTCAGTGTACTTTCTGATGTTGTCAGTTCTATGTGAACTCACAATGACTTCTGTACTTTCTGCCAATTAACAACCTAAATCTTGACCTCCTTTGGTATATGCTGGGGTAACCAATTAGAGAGATCACTTTCATATTTTTTTTGTAGCAACAGCGGTTAATCTACTCTATGAATTTATTATGCTGACAGATCTATACCTCAACAGTGACACTTAAACCTGTTACTGATGCTTTGCAAACTGCTACATAAGCCTCTACTATCTATATTCTATTCATGCTCAATTTATCTCAAGGCAGATTGATCAGCTTTTTCCAAATCTATTCTACCTTCTAACTTATCTCATTTTCAGGATTATTAAATATTTAAACTTTAGCTGACTGTTTTCCCCAACTTTTCAACAAATATGTAAGGTCACGTATTGCAGACAATTTTAGCTGCTTGTCTAATGTCACATTTCCCGTAATTCTTAATAGAACGCTGCTTTTGTTCGAGGCAGTGATGTATTCAACTTAAAAACTACACTGCACAAGGCCTTTTTACAGATGTGGTGCCCTTATTTCTAGACATCAGGAAATGAAATGTAAAAGGAGGTTTTAGGTAGTGTACTCTGCAAACAGGAATGGGAGAGAGTTAATATTTCACCAGATATTTGAGCATTGATATTTCCTGTTTTCTTTCACACAGGTCCTAAGCACATAGCAAGAGATCTAAAGGCAATATTATAAATATGAAGTAAAAATTGCTTCATGAAAGAAGATAAGGCCCTTGGTAGCACTGCAGTGGCAGATTATCAGTACTTGATTATATAACTCCAGAGTTCTCATTAAGTTCTTAGGGTTAAACTTTGCTTCTACTTGACAAGCACAATTTCTAACTATTGAAGGTGGAAATTATTATTGTCACATCTTAGTATTAGACTCGAAATTTTTCCTATTAGTAGTTGGTAAGACCAAGACTCGGATACATGTATACCTGATCTATCTCCGGTATACCCAGAAAAAGGTTTCCAGGATGCTTATAAAAAGAGGTGCTCTTTTTAATTTAATTTAATTTTGTTTTGTTTTTTCTCTGCCATCTATGGCTCTCTTATTTAACATTTTTTGATTTATTCCACATGTGTCTCTTATGTAAACTCCAATCTTCTAAATTCATGTATTAATTGATCAATAACAATATTATACACATCTCAGTTTCTATGCCTTTCCTCATGTTGTTCATTCTGTCCTCCTGTGTTTCCACCTTTTGAATTATTTTGGTTCTGTTATTCATTGAAGACAAGCTAATTAGATTAAGGCAATAAGCAATTCCAATTATGTCAGGAATCACGCATTTTTAAAATGTTCTGCAGCAGATATAATCCACACATTTGAACAAAGTTTCTTATTTCATACCACCAGAAGCCATCGATTGAAAACTGAAGGACAATATTTCTTCTAGTTATGAGCCTGCCATGAAAATCCTTTACCCAATGGGGGTAATCATTCACCATTTGTGTTTCTTCATTACTAAAATGAGAAATCTAATACTTATTTTTTATTTCCAGATTTAATATCATATTCTTGTGAATTTTCACATGCAATTTCTTCTTTGCCTAAATAACAAAAGACCTCAGAAAACTTCTTATCATGTGTATATCTTAAATATCCTGCACATGTTACAAAACAAATTCTGAATAAATTATTTTTGTTAACACTGATGCTATTTGATGAGTTATCAAGATCATTTAAAATGCTTTTTATTTACAAGTGGGATTCTTATTATCAATTATTGATTTGCATGTTGATGATCATAAACAGAAGGAACAAGTAAGTGGGCTAGATTAACCCAAATATGTCAGCCATATTCCAAATATGGCAAAGAATAATGTAACACACAACCATGGACAAATATGAATAATAAAATCAAGTATATCGTTATATATTCAGTTGTAATCTACTATGACATGAGTGTACGTGTGTGTGTGTGTGTGTGTGTGTGTATGTGGGCATGTGCATAACAGCATAATGCTGCAAGTATTGTACAGGTTTGACATACACCTCACTAAAATCTTGAAGATGTAATTTTCTAACTATGTAACCACAGGTATGTTTATTTATAATGTAGAAATAAACCTTGCTTTACTTAATGATTTAATAGAAAATAAACTATTTCAAAATAAATTGCTGAAATCTGCACACAATTATAGAAGACACCTTGTTTACATTTGTACCCTCTCTTATACAATTTACTTTTGTTTTGCTTATTTAAACCTCAATCTCACACAATCTCAATGAAACAATCAAGATACTATGAACACTGTTGTTTACAGAAGCACGTATGTCAAGTTACCATGAGAGCGCCTCAACAGGTGTGAATATTAAACAGCTATAGGGAAAGAGTTGCAGCCGATTCATTTTAATTGCTGCCTCCAGAAAGCCACTCCTTCCTTCTATGCATATTCATAGAGCAATTTTATGCCTCTTTTTGCCAGATATTAAAATTTTCCCTTGATTTTGTGGGCTTTGCCCCAATTATTTCAATAAGTTCCTTTTCCAGTTAACCATATTTAACCCAGTTAAACATGGTTAATTTCTGCTGCAGTTAAAAAACATTTAAGAGGACAATTAAAGGTAAGTTAATATGGTATTAGACCTAACCTTTCAGCATCATGTATAACTCTCTTTGATTTAAACAACAAAGATTTGGATTTCTTGCACTTTTATTAATCTGATAATGTGGGACAAATCAGGAATACATAATTTTCAGGAAATTCATTTTATTTGAAATCTTCCAAAAGTCTAATTTAGAAGACATTTGCTGAGAGCTGATGTTACAATCTAATTCTACAATAATGTATATAATAAAAATTGGAAAATGGCTCAAATAAATAAGGCATTTCTTACTTATTGGTTTGAAAATTATCTCTGAATACAAAGTACAACAGTCTAACAAAACACATTTTTCTTTTCACAATACCTACGGTATATATATATATATATATATATATATATATATATATATATACTTTGTTTATAATTATGTTAAAATGATCAGTATTTGATATACAGCATGTAGCATGACTCACCCTTTTGCAACTTTTCTAAATAACTACTTTATTGCTAACACTATTTTCCTTTGTATTGTTAACTCACTGTGTTATGTTTCCTAATTTATTTAGCACAATGTATGCAAATATATGTGAACAGAAGTCACTTAAAATATGACTTTATGATTGTTTTATCTGAGACATACAACATCATGAATGTCAAAAGCTACAACTAGTTTTTTTTTTTTTTTTTTTTTTTTTTTTTGTACTGGGACCTGAACTCACATCTTATGCTGCCAGGCACTCAACTATATCCCAGCCCCAAAGTTAAATATTATTCAATTATCTTTGTGCGTAGTTATAAATACAGTTCTGTATCTAAATTGTTAGATATGCTAGCAAAATGATGCCTGCTACATTTTACTCAATTATCTTCACATCTGAATGGATTTTTGATTCATAGGTTATTTTTAGCATTGGATTTTTGGGTTTTCTCAGTTGCCTACAGAAATGTATTGGCTGATTTCACAATTTGCACTAGGCTCTCAGGAGATATCTCTGTAAAGCATAAACACACTTTTCATTATGTTTTGTTGGCTTGTCCACATTTTGCTATCTCTCAAAACCCGACTTATATTATCACTTCTTCAAATGAAGTCTCATGTCCAAAAAATCAGAGTAACTATGATTTATCTCCAGTATTTTATTTCAGAGCACTGGCAGGTCTTTATACTTGTATAGTTTTATTTTGTTTGTTTGTTACTTCATCCAGATTGTAATTTCCTGGAGGTCAGAAAAAATGTTTTATTCATCTTTGTTTCCTATCAGAATTTTCCTCAGTGTCTTCCTGGACAGAGAAGGTTCTTAATAAATGTATGTTGAGTGATTTATCAGGTTGGCAGTGCTGACATACAGAATGAGTCCACAGACCTCTGGTCTGTAGGTTGCTCTTGCAACTTGAATGAGCCACACAGAAGTCAAGTTTCTATGGTTCAAAAAGATAATCAGTATGAACAAATTGGATCCTGACTTTTCAATTTCAATAAGTATAGCCACCATTTAGTATTCAGAGAAAAATTTACATGAATAGTAAACAGCTTCTTAAAAATAAAAAGCCCAAATGTACTTGCCTTCAATCAAATATTTTCTAAGTAATTAAAGTATCACCTAATTTTCACCTTTGGATTTGAAAGTAGTTTTTGGCTCCACATGAGAAGGAAACTTAAGTGCATACGCTTGCTGGATAGCGGAAAACTATAAAGGTATCTAACATTTCCTGATCTTACTATGTGCTCTTAGCTAATCACAGCATCCCAGCTTGTTAATACTTGGTAGATTCACAGTTTATAGCATTATTTACTTTATCTATTTATTTAATCATGAAAAAAAACAGTAATAAAGCAGGCATCACAATTACTTTTTCTTTTTTTGTTATCTTACAGAGAAACTTTGAGAGCTAAATGACATTCCCTGGTGAGGGAGAACTATTTAGAGTTCTATAACAAACAATGTGCTGTGGCACGCATGCCATCAGCTTGCCACCGCGGCTCCAGATCATTCAGTAAACTGCAGCACAGAAAAGAGAAAACTGTCTTCAGATATTGAACAAGCATTATTAGCACATGTGCACCAAACTGAAATGAGGGCACTGGCCTCTTAAAATATATCATAAATGGAAAAGAGAAGAAAAATAAATAACATTAAAATTTCAGAAAAAAAGATATATAAATTATGGAAAAATTTGATGGCCTTCATGATAATAATGTAAGTCACAGAAATATAACAAGTATACCAGTATGAAGCATAAGACATCACAAAAGCCAAAGTAATGTTCATACAAGTCAAAAAATTTAATCCCCTTGAGACGAAATTTACTATCTGTGAGAAAATTATGTAAGCTAGACCCAAACTGAACTTTCAGTTCACCTTTCTTACTTTTAAGAAAATCAAAACAAGGTATATAAACTATGCTGTTTCATAAAGGTCACAGAGATCTTTATTCTGAAACTAACAGATGTCAACCTTTGAACTGTCTTTGTCTAACAAAAGTAACCTATCCACTTGGGCTTATTCTTGCATCTTTTACTTCCAATTACTATATAATTCTGTTGTCCTTTTTCCAAACATAACGTTATAAAAAATGCAATGGTTTCTCAGAATCAGTAAGATGACACCAAGGGAATGTGTAAAGGAAAATTAAGAACAAGATAAAGAATACCAATGCAATCAACTAAAAAGTTTCAAAATTTTCAGCGCGTTTTAGAACTAACTTACGATACCTTTATTGTGATTCTGTCTTTGTGCATAATCCTCAGCGCTGGTGGACTTTATTGCTCTTTCTACACATTAAATGAAACCATTTACACAGAACTTAGCTTATCATATACTGCCTATTCATGCCTACAAGTTTACTGTTATTGATTGCTCATGAGGGCAGAGACTTGTGTTCTATCAAGGCCTGGAATATACTAACCAAAAGACAAATTCGAGTTTTTCCGGTCAGTGTGACTGATGAAAAAGTGTGAGCATTTATATTCCTTTATCTGAGAAGTGAGAATTCATCCGAGATGCCAATTTTTGTATTAGGTCTTTAAATGGGGGATCTGATCATTTTCAGTTCTTTATATGTTTTAGATAGAAGCCCTTTGTCTGAGGGCAGTTGGCTAAATTTTTTCCCACTGTGTGGGTTTTGTTTTCACTTTGTTCGTGATTTCTTTTGGTGTGCAGAATCTTTTCAAAAAGATGAGTCACAGTTTTTGCTCTTTGAAATACTTCCCATACAGTTTGATTTTGTCCATGAACTCTATGCCTACCTTTATGTCTTCAGTATTTCTATCTAATGTCTCTTCCAGTAGATTTAGTGTTTGTATTTTAATATTTAGAATGTTTTATCCATTTTGACTTTAGTTTTGTGCCTGATAATAGACATGGGTCTAGTTTTAGTCTTTAGCATGCTGAAAGCCAGTTTTTCTACCACTATTTATTAAAGAGGTTCTCATTCTTCCTGTGGATATTTTTGGCCTCTTTGTCAAATATAAGGTGGTTTGGCATTTTTGGAGCTATGTCTGCATCTTCTAATCTGTTTCATTGGCAAATAAATGTAAAAAAATGTTCATTATCACTGGTCATTTGAGAAATGCAAATTGAGACAACACTGAGATTCCATTTAACCCCAGAAATAATGACTATCGTGGGGAAATCAACCAGTAACAAATTCTTGAGGGGGTGTGGGGAGAAAGGAACACTTCTCCACTGTTGGTAGGAGTGTAGACTGGTACAGCTATTGTGGAATCAGTGTAGAGATTACTCAAAAAACTAGGATAAGAGGTTCCATTCAACTTATCTATCCATTTTCTGGTATTTTCCCAGAAGAATTAAAAACATCATACCACAGAGATTTGTGCATCCATGTTTAGAGTAGCACAATTTGTGTTAGCTAAAGCTTGGAAACAATTCAAATGCCCATCAGCTGAGGAATGTATAAAAATGATGTATTTTTATATAATGGAGTACTTCTCAGATATAAAGAAGGAAAAACCTTGAGATTTTTATAGATAAATGGATGGAATTAGAGATCATACATGTAATTGAAATAAATCAGACTCTCATACTAAAAGAGTAAAATACAAAATATACAATAGACAATGAGAAAGGGAAAAAAACTGCTCACAAGGAAAGAACAACTCTGACAGATAAAGGAGAGGTGAAGGAAAATAAAATAAAATAAAATTATGATAGCTAACATAAATATATTACTAATATATCTTGCTTCATTGAAAAGTGATTTATACTTTTATTGGTTGATTAATTTGCAAGTCTATCTCTTGTAATCTGGACAACTACTTTGAAAACAACAAAATACAACATATTAACCATTGCTAATTTCTTTTTAGCTTGTCTTGGAACTCTGTATCATTGCTTTTATTTATTTATTTTACTTTTTTCTCTTTAAAATAAAAAAAGTGTGAGCATAGTTGGGTAGGTTTTCTGACAGTGAAAGTTGAAACTATTTTAAGGAAAAAATCAAAAGATTATTTTAGCATTTGTGACACCCACAGAACACAAATGATATTTCAAGATATGATTAATAATCACTGGATAAAATGTAGTCATTCATCAATTTTCAATTTTTTGTAAAGATAAAGAAATAATAGGCGTGAATTTATATTACTACCTTACTAGTTCCTATCAATGTAAGAGAAAAGTAAAAAAAAAAACAAAAAAAACCAAAAAAAACTAGCATATCATAAGGCAGAAATGCATATTAGAAGATATTCTTAACCAAGACTCATTGTCTAAATTGTACATATTTAAACATATATAAAACTTTAATCAATGTCCAGATTTAGCCTCTAAACATGAACTATTTTATTGTGCTATTCATAAGATTAGTTGATAAATTGAATATAATTTAATATCTAACCTGATTTTTCCTTGTCTTTATATTAAAATCACATTTTCATACTGAAAAGTGGACTCTTTAACAAACGAAAATGGTGTAATACAGCATTCATATTTTTAAGTATATTTATAATGTTCACCAAAAATATGAGATATTTATCACACAAGCAAAAAAACACACAAGTTTTACACATATACACAAACACACAGATCTAAGATTATAAACTACAGTTGAAGGCAGAAAATGAAGTGTTGGGATATTCTGAAATGGTTACATATCATAATTGCATTGGTCTTAAAAGAGACTATTTGGCTATAACTATATATATATATATATATATATATATATATATACATATATATATATAATCTAAATATAGGGTTGCAGAAAGAGTTTTATAAATAGTCTCTATAAACAGGCAATTTATTATTTAATTTTATATGTAAATGCAATGAACAGAAGAGACATACTCTGTCAAAACAGATTAACAAGATCAATGTATTATTAAATTAATACCTACATTAGTTTATACAATTATTATTTTAACATACGAGTTTACCCTATAATTAGGAGATACATTATTTTATTTCTGGTCATACTTTGCTTTGAAAGAGGTTCAGGATAATTGATTGAACAGAAACACTGGCTACGGTTGGTGGGTAAGAATGACTAAAATTATTTCTACATAATAGTATCCTTGGATAATCAAATGAGATTTTGAATTACTGAAATATTGAATTGCTCTAATTAATTTTTGCTTCTATTGCTTTGGCTCTATATAAATAAAGTGGATTTTTATTTTCGTTGAACACAAAAGCCTCATAATACAGAAGCATGAGTTGTGAATGAAGGTACATTGATGTAAAATAGAAAAAACAATGTGCTTTTACCTCACAGGGCTATTGGCAGAGTCTGGGTCATGAGCTGCTACTGTGCCAATGATGTTCCCAACTTGGGTCGCTTCTGACACCTCCATGGGATACAAAGGTGAAGAAAACACTGGTGGCTCATCCACGTCTTCTACAATGACCTTCACCGTGGTTGTGTCACTGAATGGCCCCAAGCTCAGAAAGCGAGGATCTGCATCTTTATTTGCAGCTTCTATCCTTAGGGTATAACTAGTTTTGGATTCAAAATCCAGCTCCTGCAAAGAAAGTTATTAGAGAAATCAAGTCACCAATCAGATAGCAAGGCCGTGTCTTTCATTTGTGAATGTCAACAGATATAGAGAGAACCCTGTCATAAAAATGTACCATCACCATACAAAAATAATAAATAAAAATTACAATCAAGATCCTCATTGCTCTTTGGCTCACTGACAAAAGTGAGGACTTTTGAGGTGACTTAATTCACTTGGAAGACATGCAAGTCTTCACAAGAAAAATTTGAAAGATATCTGATCAGGTTTTAAAAGTATTTTCCAACAGGATATCAGTGCAACAATACTCTCCAACCCTGTCATTCAACTGTATTATTCAGGGGTGAACATTAAAGAGGAAAGAAAATCATAGCTTCTTATGTAATTTCTTAAATAAGGTAAGTGATTAGGGAACTACGTTAGGATCTTGAGACATCAGGGGTTCAGACTACAGCTTTGTGTCAGGAATGTCAGACTTGGAATATTCAGCCTGACAGCATAACTATCTCTTCTCCACGAAGCACCTGCCATTTCCACCAGCACTGTACTCTCTACCGTTCTTTATATTAGACAAATATATTTTTATACTAGACAATTATACTAGAAAATCTTTATACTAGACAATTATATTCTTGAACCTTTTTGTTTGTAATTTTTTAAGATGATTAACATGATAAAAAGTTTCTGAAACTTCAAGAGATATGAAAGCTTAAAAAGGTTGTAAGGGCAATTAAATGATGCATTACTCAAGGATGTGGAAAAAAATATATATATACACAATGTTTAGAAGATGTGATCATCATGTTTAGAAGATGTGATCATCATGCTTCCATCTCTAGGACATAAGTGACAGTTTTGTCTAATCTCAAAGCTAAAGCTCTAGGTTTTATGATTTAAAGCAAAAGCACTAGAGCAATAATGAATTTGACAGAAATGATGTCAAATATCTCACTTACTTGTAAATTGTTAACAAAAATTACTGAGAAAAATGAGTTAATCTGCAATGCTGAAAAATTGTATATCATATCTACCCTGTGTTCAAGAGCAGCTGTGTATGCACATATGTAGATGTGCATACAATCAAACTCATCCAAAGAAGGGTGTTATATTAATGAAAATAAATAAAACTGTAGCGTACATTTAAAGCCAAACAATACAAAGTATAGCATACTATCTAAATGATTATCTATTAAATATAATATATATACTATGTTACAAATGTATTACTTTTTATGCAAAATATACCACACTTATATACATACACTTAGATACATACATAGTTATGATATCATACATGTTACATAAAGAGGTGACAGAGATGATTTATGTTTAAAACAAAAGTAAAAATCATATATCAGTACAGTAAATAGATTTGCAATCACTACATCAAAGACATTACATAAATGATTGTTTCGTATTTGTCTCATCCATTAAATTGCAGATTCAGGTGTTTCATTTATCATTATGATTCCCAGCACCTATCACGCTTTGAGGAAGAAAACAAGGCACAATAAATTCATGTTAAATTAGGGAAGGAAAATTAGACTATATCTTTAACCAAAAGAATCCTATTTATCAATGTAGGACAAGCAAAAAAAAAAAAAAAAAAAATCATTGGGCCACAGAACCACTTCATAGAATTGTTCTTGGGAAGATTGTAAACTCTCATCTGAAGTCCCATCCAAACTTGCTGGAACATATTATGAACAGTATTGTGAACTTCTTGCTCAAAAATTCACTCATGTTTCATGCGGTAGCCTTTTTGGTTAGCTCATAAGGTAAGAGTGTCTTCAGCCCAATGTTCTTAAAGATGAGAATCAGAAACAAAGCAGGGGATTTCCTAACAGATGTAGAACCTTTCAAGAGGACTTACGTCCACAGAACCAGGGGAAGGCACAAGCATGTGTGTTTTTAAAAGCCACGTCTGATAATTCTGATGCAAGTTCTCTTTTAGAAACAACTTAATCATTGAAGTGTTCTTGAGCTGGCATGTAAAATTCAACACTTATTTGGGGAAAAAAAAAAAAGACTAAAACAGATCATAATTATTTATCTAAAAGCATTTACCGAGAAACCTTAAAAAGCTAGTGAATATTTGCAATAACAACCACAATTTGTTCTTCTATTGTTTTTATAATGTAAAGAATTACAAGAGAAAACTTACATTCAAATAATAACAATAAAATTTAACAATAAAAATAATATAGTACGATATATTAAAAACCATAGTTATCTGCCTTCAAATCAGTGTAAATCCACAACAATTGTTTATGTTTTCAATATTACCAAAAATTTGCCAAGTATTTATGTATTTGAGGAAATTATCCTCACGTATAAAGAATAATTTAACTTTTACTACAGAAATGAATGCAATTATTTCATGGAAAAAATTTAAAACATATCTGAAAGGCAAAAATATGAATTATAGACATCTGGATGCTTCAAAGTCATGGAAACAGAGAGTGTTATGTATGATGATTAGGTACCTAAAAGCTATTATGAAAACTGAGCAATGAAAGAATTCATATGAAAAGGTATGAATCAAAAATACAGACAGACGGAACTGCTACATGAAAGTATTTCCAGAGAATATGGGGATAAGCCAGCAATTCCAGCTTTCAAAAAGAAGGGATGCTGTGATGAATAGGATTGTCAAACAAATTGAAGAACATGTTCTTGCAATAAAATTTTAATTTCTGTTTTTCTTTCTATTATTGTTTTCTATATGCATAATACATTCTGTATGCAACTATTAGATCTAATGATAAGGGTTATACTTGAAGAATTTAAAATAACAAAAGAAGCAAAAGAAAGAACATAAACATAAAATCTAAATAGCCTCTTTTCAATTTTTTAAATAATAGGTAATTGGAGACCACAGAAGTAGAAATTTAGTCCGAACACTGTCACGTTTAGTCCACAATAGCAAACAGTAATAAGCCTTAATATGACCTGGGAATCAAAGCAAAACTGAGATAGAAAAATACAATATGTTTCACTTGTCTGTGGGAAAAACAGTCTAAAAGCAGAAGAGTGCCTATGAGGAAAGGGGAAGGTAATGGTGGGGAGGAGAGAGGAGAGGCGTGGAGAGGGGAAAGTGAAGGGGGTACACTAGGATTGAATTTAAAGGATGATATATACAATATAGAAATGTCACAGAGAAGCCTATGCATTTGTATGATTAATATACATTAATTACAACTGTTTAAATCCTTGGAACAGAAACCAGCGCCTAGTGAGCACTCTGAATACTTAAGAAAAGTACTGTTACTGATTATTTTTAAAATCCCCAAAATCAAATACAAGTCACACAAATCCAAGTTTCCAAAGCTGCAGTGATAAGAGTTGTTTTTCCATCTGTCCACCGACATCATTGTCAGAGAGAGAAGGCAGAAGCAGCTATTTTGGTATGCCTGCATCCAAACTAGGGAATAAAATTCTGTAAATTTATTAGGACTAAACAACATAAAATTTGTATTTGTCTTAGTTAATTTTCTGTCATTGCTGAGACACAATACCTGTTCCAAAATTAAGGAAGGAAAGGTTTATTAGCTCACAGTTTTTGAAGGTTGAAGTCTGTAGTCAGCTGGCTCCAAGGCACGGTGACATGACTGAACAGCAACTTTTCAGAGAGGCAGAAGACAGCAAAAGCAACAAGGGTGAAGTGAGGAGGGGTGAGGAGAACAACCTCCTTTCCTCCTGTGCATTGAGTGCAGGCTACCAGCCCTCACCCTCTCCATCCTCACCTCTTGGACAGGATCAGGATGTTTACAAAGTGAAGGCCTTGGTCCCTGCTGAATCATATAGTTAAGCATTTAAACCTCTCAATTTTCAAGTTGACTTAAAGCCAGGATATAGCTCTAGGGCACAGTGCCTGTGTGGCAAGCAAGAGGCCCAGAGTTTGATTCCCAGTACAAAAAAAAAAAAAAAAAAAAAAAAAAAAAATTAAGTTGGCACAAAGTGTTAACCATTATAATCCACCCATATCACCTTGGAAGTCAAACACAGTTCCTTAAATTCGTCTCCAGATCAAAGACTTGCTTATTCTTATCATTTACAACTTGAACAATATATATAACACATGTTAAAAAGACATTAAGAACCAGTATTAAGTCTATCAATGTTATATTACATGAGAGCCATGATATCCTACCCCTGACCCCTCAAAGATTCTCACATACCCGTTATGCAAAAGGCATTTTAGTCCATGTCTAAGAGTTGACAAGGTCCTAACAGTTTCAGCTGAAAAGTCCAAGCCCCAAGTCTCCTCTGAGATATAAAGAAAACTTTTAGCTGCATACATCTGTACAAATGAAAAGTCACATACTTCCAATATTCAATGGCACAAGATAAACACTACCATTCCAAAAGGTACAAACAGGGGGAAACAAAAGACTGGGGAAAAAAGTCCAAAATGCAGCAGGGCAATCATTAGGCCCTATAATTTCATATTCAGCATCCGAAGCAATCTGTGGCATGTTGTGAGACCTAAAGAGCTTGAGTGGCTGCACTGGATGGCACTTCTGGTGATTACAGCTCCCGCGGCTTCACTCTTTGGGCCGCTTTGCTCCCTTTTTACAGTTTTCCTTTAGTGATTCATATTTCTAGCTTTTCCAAACTTCTGGGATCTCCTTTGCACATTTGGCGTCAGACTCACAGCTTCATACACTGCCCTCTCAGGGGCACACTGCCTGGCCTCCATAAAATCAAGGCGGAAGCCTTCTTAACCTCATAAATTTTGCATTGAGATGCACCTAAAACAAGCACTATATGTATGTTGCCAATATCTGCTGCCAGCTAGAGCAGTAGTCAGGCTTCCCTCTTTTTTAGCTATTGAGTTTAACAGCCTTGATCCCTGAGCACTCTGCATCCAACTCTAAGGAATAAATTTTCTGTGCCAGCATGATTCTAGAACATGTTATAGCTGCCGTCATTCTGGAACATGGTGCTCTGGAGCTTTCTCTCAAAGTGGGGTCTGTCACGTTAGCAGTTTTGAGGATGCAAAA